TTTCATATAAGTAGTATCTATGACACAATATTTGTCTTTTCGTGACTTAATCCATTCAGCATAATGTTTTCAAGGTTCATCCATGGTGTAGCATGTTTCAGGACTTCATATCTCCTTATGGCTGAGTAATATTCCATTATATATATGTATATATACATACCACATTTTGTTTATCCATTCATCTACTGATGGACATTTGGGTTGTTTCCACCTTTTGGCTATTATGAATAGTGCTAAAATGAACATTGGTGTACATATATCTGCTTGTTTTCCTGCTTTCTCTTTTGGCTATATACCTAGGAGTGGAATTGCTGGGTCATATGGTAGTGTGGTAGGAGCCCTGGTGGCACAATGGTTAAATGCTTAGCTGCTAATCAGAAGGACAGTGGTTTGAACCCACCAGTGGCTCTGCGGGAGAAAAGACCTGGTGATCTGCTCCTGTAGAGGTTACAGCCTAGGAAACCCTATGGGGCAGTTCTACTCTGTCTTATAGGGTCACTATGAGTTGGAATTGATTCAGTGGCACACAACAACAACATGGTAGTACAGTACTATGCTTAACTTTTTGAGGAACTGCCAGACTGTTTTCCACAGTGCCTGCACCATTTTACGATCCCACCAGCAACAGATGAGGGTTCTAATTTCTCATCCTCACCAATACCTGTTGTTTTCTTTTTTAATTTTTTATTATAACCATCCCAGTGGATGGGATAGATTTTTTTAAACCAGAATTTTTCAGATTTTAGAAAGCTAATATGATATAAATGTCCTATATAGTATAAAAAAACAGTTGCTCTCGTCTTGACTCTAACTTATGGAGACCCCGTGTATGTCAGAGTAGAATTGTGCTCCATAGGGTTTTCAGTGGCTGATTTTTTGGATGTAGCTCACCAGGCCTTTCTTCCAAGGCCCCTCTGGGTGGACTCGAACTTCCAACCTTTTCATTAGCAGCCAAATGTGTTAACCATGTACACTACCCAAGGACTTTGTAACACACCCATTATAATAATAATTAATATTTTTTAGCAAAATATATGAATATTCACACTAAGTGAAATATATAAGGACTATCAATCATCTCACATCAGTTCAGGTCAGGTTTGCCACCAAATGAGTTTATGTAAATTTTGAAATCAACTTTTGGTTTTGAGAGTTTTTTGGAGTTTGGAATTATGAGTATAGGATTGTGGACCTGTATTCCTATTTTCAGGAGTCCCTGGGTGGTGCAGTTAAGTGCTTGACCACTAGCTGAAAGATTTGTAGTTTGAGCCCACCCAAAGGCTCCTCTGCAGACACACCTGGTGATCTGCTTGAGAAAGCTCACAGTCTTGAAAACCCTATGGAGCAGTTCTATTCTGCACACATGGAGTCGTCATGCATTGGAATTGACTCGACAGCCACAGCAACAACAACATTCTTATTTTACAAATAAAGTAACTGGGACCCAGATCGGTCAGGCAACCTTTACAAGAATGTGTTATAGGCTAGTGGCAGGGCTGTGGCTCAAAACTAGGACTTCTATAACTTCACATTACTTTGAACATCTAAAGTTTTATAATGGAATTAGAGAGAAACTGGTATTTGGTTAACAGAAATTTGTCTATAGCAAAATTTCCCGGATTATATATATTCTGTTGAATAGTTTTGAGTTCAGAAACACTGACAATTATTTTCAGGGGCTTTTCAAAATAGTTTGCTACTAATTTAAAACCTACTCAGATAAGTAAAAAAGATCGCAACCAACACAGAAAAATCTTGAGATTCTGATTATGATCAATGCCTTCAGGCATACATCGAAATTCAGAAAAATCTGATTGGGAGGGATTGTATCATCACTCACTCTGAGAAGCTAAGAAGTTTCTGACAACAGTAATATTGGTAATACAAGGACAAAAAAGTGTAGGAGTGGGAATAGGCATTGTCATGCTTGAAGAAACATCATTTCCTCTTGTGTTAGGTGCCATTGATTTTCAACTCACAGTGACCCCATGTGACAGAGTAGAACTGCCCCATAGGGTTTTCTAGGCTGTAATCTGTATCTTCCTTGGAGCCACTGGGTGGCTTTGAACTACAAAGCTTTCAATTAGCAGCCAAGTGCTTAACCATTGCGCCATCACGGCTCCTTGAAAATCTATGTGGAAACATTTCAAAGGTTTTATGTATATATCTTAGTGTTGACATAAAATGAGGAAACATTCAATATAAAAACCTTATGTCTTAGGCTGAGTTCTCTGGAGAAGCAAAACCAGTAAAGTGTACAAATATATAGAGAGATTTATATTAAGGAAATAGCTCACGCAGTTGAAGAGGCTGGAACGTGGGTCAGGCTGGAGGCTTCTCCTGATTCATGTAGCTGCAAGGGCTGGCAAACCCAAGGCTGGCAAGTCAGACAGCAGGGCTCTGGCTTACAGACTGTGAAGACCAACAAATCCAAAGATCGGCAGGCAAGATAGCAGGTAAGCTACTAGCTCAAGTCTCATGAACTGGAGGTCAGACAAACAGGAGCCAGCTGCAATATCCAGTGGGAGCAAAAGCCCACCAACCTTGCCAGAGTGTCCACTTATGTTTGATGCAGGCCGCACCCCAAGGAAACTCCCTTTCAACTGATTGGCTACTCACAGCAGATCTCATCATGGAGGTGATCACATCATTATACGACTGCCAAACTACATCATAACTGACAAACCACTGAGAATCATGGCCTAGCTAAGTTGACACACAACCCTAATGATAATAGTCCACCCCTTGTCAACTTGGCACCTGTACACATCTCCTTAAACCATACATAATCTCTGAATAAAGACAATTATAGTCATACTTGCACCTAACATGATACAAGTAACACAAATGCAACCAAAAATGCATTAGCCCTGTTTACATCTTATATTTTATAAGTGAAGAGAATGAAAATATTTGATGCACACATACAAGGCAGAAATACTCCTAACAATTGCAGTCCTCATTTCTGCAACTGCTCACGTGGTCGTAACTGGTATTTAGAACTACCTTCTTCCACCACCCATTCTGTATTCCCTTTGCCCTCAGGAAGCACCTCAGCTGGTTGTGGTACTTTGCCTGGTGGGGTGAACCAAACCTTCATTCCAGAAGGTTCTGGGCCATTAGTAGTCATGTCGGAATTGGGTTGCTGTAGTTTTCTGTTGACTTTAATCACAGGGCATGATGGTACTAAGAGACACCATAAGGGATCTCCTGCATTCCAGAGATACTCTTCTTTGCCTCCATTATGTAATATCAATCTGATTTCCTCTTGGTAATCATGATCAATCACACCAGCCAGTATGGTAACTCCCTTCTTTGCCTGTTGATCCGGAGGCATAAGGAGCCCAAACTGGCACCTTATAAACACATGGTATCATTAGCTGCATATATATTTTCTGTCATTTCTCCTGGGTAGTAAATCTTTATCAAACATTTTATGAGGATGACGTTTACCTATGAATATTCTAATATTTTCAATTACAATATCCTAAACCAAACCCATTGCCATTGAGTCAATTCTGATGCATAGCAACCCTATAAGACAGAGTATAACTGCCCCATAGAGTTTCTAAGGAGCAGCTGGTGGATTTGAACTGCTGACTGTGATGCTTAAGATTGTGTGTCAACTTGGCTGGGCTGTGATTCTCAGTGTTTATATGTGATCACCCCCATGATGGGATCTGCTGTCAGTAGCCAATCAGTTGAAAGGGAGTTTCCTTGGGCCTGTGGCCTGCATCTGAATATAAGTGGATGTTCTGGCTTTTGCCTGCTCTGGATCCTGCAGTTGCCTCCTGTTTGTCTGACCTCTGGTTCTTGGGACTTGAGCTAGCAGCTTATCTGCTGATCTTGGGATTCATGGGTCTTCACGGCCTGTGTGCAAGAGCCCTGCTCTCCGACCTGCCGATCTTGGGTTCACCAGCCCCTGCAGCTACATGAATCAGGAGAAGCCTTGCAGTCTTGCCTACCAATCTTGGGATTTGTTGACTTTCACAGCCTGTGAACAAGAGCCCTGCTCTATAACCTGCCGATCCTGGGCTTGCCAGGCCCTGCAGCTATATGAATCAAGAGAAGCCTCTACTTGATCCACAGACTTGGGATGTTCCAGCCTCTACAATTGAGTGAGCCATTTCCTTGATATAATATTTCTCTCTATAAATATTTATACACTTTACTGGTTTTGCCTCTCTAGAGAACCCAGCCTAAGACACACAACTTCTGGTTAGTAGTCGTAGCATTTAACCACTTCATTGCCAGGGCTCCAGTTACAATATAGGCAACTCTAAATAACTGACAGAAAGTAGGTAGGAAATTACCATTTATGGAGTACTTACTATATGTCAGGAACTCTGTAAATAAGATAGGTATGTCTGTGGCTCTATGAAGTTTACATATTTGTTCTCACTTTTGAGAGGGGGAAAAAGAGATATACGTGTGGATTAGGGGAGAGAACATTCTAAGCAGAGGGGTAGAGTTAGCAAAATAAAGGTCAGAAATGTGATCTTTATAGGTCACATGTGCCTAGATGTGTGAGGGGTTCAGTGAACAGTTTGGTTTACTTGGAACATAGGAAGCACAAGGATAGAAGTGGGGAATATGAAAGAAAGAGATGTAAGGAGTGACCCTGAGTTATCTACAGCCCTTCATAGTGGAAAGAGCATACAGCCACAGATCTGATCAAATTGTGGTTTTACTAATTTCATCTTTGTGAACTCCTTTTAGTTTCTAAGATTCTAACCCTCACTTTCCATCAATAATAAATGGGATAATTTTATCTGACAAGTTTATTATGAGAATTTCCACTATGAAGGGCTATAGATAACTTGGTCACTCCTTACATCTCCTTCATATTTCCCACTTCTATCCTTGTGCTTCCTATGTTCCAAGTAAACCAAACTGTTCACTGAACCCCTCACACCTCTAGGCACATGTAACTTATAAAGATCACATTTCTGACCTTTATTTTTGCTAACTACCACTCTGCTTAGAAAGTTCTCTCCCCTAATCCACATGTATATCTTTTTTTTACCCCTTGAAAAATCAGATATTACTTCTCGTTTTAAAAATGGAATTCAATAAATACACTGCTCTAGCCTAGACAGTTGCACTAAGAAGAGTATTTCTGAGGCTCGCCACAAACACAGCCATGCCAGACAGACAAGGATGATGTGGCAGGGAGTGCTTGGAAGGGGGTGGTGGTCACTGAGGATGGTGTTGTCTTTGACGGTTCATCCGTAACTGTGGTACTGAGAGACAATGCCTTAGCATGATTCCCATAGCTTCCGCTATTCTCCCATTTCCTCAGAGCTGCTAGATCGCTAAACTGATAGTTCATCCCCTCAGATATCTCTTGCATTTATCCTGTGAATTGTGTGTTAGATCCCTGTTTCCTAGGTCACTTGTCCTCCTTTTTTTGGTTTTAGTAGAACATATCTTCTAGTACCTTTTTGAGAAAAGATATTAAAGGATATGTAACTTTTGAGTCTTTGAACAACTAAAACTTTTTTAAACCCTCACAATGGATTGGTAGCTTGGCTAGGTATAGAACTGTGGGTAAAAATCATTTTACCTCAGTATTCTGAAGCAGTTACCCTATTGTCTTCCAGCTTCCCATTTTGCTGTTGAGAAGTCTAATGCTTTTCTTGTAACTGATCGTTTCTGACCTGTTTCCCACCTTACCCCTAGAAGCTTTTAGGTTTTTGTGTTTTGTTGTTGGTGTTGTGAAACTTCATAATGATTTGCCTTGGTGACAGACTTTTTTCACTCATGGTTTAGTATTTAATTAGCTTATTAATGATTTATTGTCTTTCCCGTCAATCTCCTGCCTGAGGTGAACAAGGTTATCTGATGGTATTCTGGACAATAGGGAGGGGAAAGAGACTGCAGTTGTCATGGTTCAGAAAGACGGGGAAGGGTGCGTTTGGTGGTCTAACTGCTCTTTACACAGTACTTCCAGTCAATGATGTTTGTACCTTTTTATTTTTCCAATAACTCAGGTCAAGTAAATTACTTCGTGCCAACAGCTGCTAAGTGGCAACATAGCCACAGGAACCTAGGTTTGTCTGCCAATAGAAACTATACTCTTAACCACTATGCATTACCTTAGTAGTGGGCTTTTGTTTTTCTATCCATATGTGTACCCATATATAGCAAGTATTTTGAACTTAACATTATATACAGAATGCTGTTCCACATCATATAAAATTCTTTAAAAATACCATTTCAATGCTTCCTAATCCTCTATCATTCTGGATGTATCATGCTTTAAGTATTTTGTTGCTGGCATTATTGCCATCTTTTGAGTTTTAAAAACAATATTTATCTTTGTACATAAATGGGTATATTTCCTATTAGAACCTTAAAATAAAACAGAATGTAATTTGTTTTTAAAGAACAGAACAAATTTAGTATTTGATACTTATTGTTAGATTACCCTTCAGAAATGTGCCAATTTACAATACCACAAGTACTTTACCTCACTCTCATCAACAATAAAGTATGTTTCCTTTTTTTTTCTAAAATTAGGTACAAAATAATGTTTCACTGGTTATAATTTATTTAATTAACTAATGAGAAAGAGTATTTTTCATGTTTATCATTTCAATTTTATTTCTGTATATTGTTTATGCCATGAGCCCATTTTCTACTACTGTCTGTGTATTTAGGTATTTCTATAAACTTTTATATATTTTGTGACAAATCTTTTAGTATACAAAAAGTAATAAATGGATGTTCTTTTTATAAAACATTTGAACAGTATAAAAACATACAAAGTAGAAAATTAAAGACTCCATTATCCTATTCCCATGTAACTATTGTCAAAAAGTATGAAACAACTTAGTTATAAAACAAACACATGCAAAAACGAGGCAATTATTACTTTAGGAAAAATGTAATCATAGCACGCTCCTTGGGTCAGGAGCGAAGAGTGTTTATATGGTCATAAAAACAAAAACAACAAATATAGGTTTAACCAAAAAATTTAACATGATCATATTGGGAAGATGGAAGAGAGTATAAGAGGAGTATAAGAGATGGAAGAAAAATTCTCCTTTATGGCCTCAAAGTCAATTAAAAATATATTAGGTAATGAATTAATAGAAATATATGTATATTATTTAGCAATATGTATGTAATGAAACAGTTGAAGAAGTTACGAGTAGTTGCTTCTGGGGAATAGAATTGGGCAGTAAGGCAGTGCAGACGGAAAACTGCTGTGTTTGGTTATAAGCCTTTCAGAGTTACACATTTTACTTTATATTTTATGGGTACTTATAATTTATCCAGATTGCGATAAAGCTAAAAGAAGAAGACAAAATGCCCATATTTAACAACAAAATTCTCTTGAAAATTTTATTAACATTTAATAATAAATCATTCATTTTTTTTCAGCTTTTAGGAAGTTTTTGTTTTAAAGATTAAGGTTATTTCAAAAGTACTCATGTAAACCAATCAGATGTGAATACAGCTTTTATAATGAACCTCCCAAATAAACCTTTGTAATATCTGCTTTCTTTCTTGGGATGACACTAACATTACCAAAATAACATTAAGTTTTCTTATTAAAATTTGCTGTTTTCAGAATTAATGGTTATCAACGAATTCTTGGTTTTTATTACTCTGCTAAGGTAAGATAAAAACATGATATTTTAAAATTATTTTTCAATTTCCTATGAACTATTTTATAGTAAAAAACTATTTGGTAACAAGTGTTCTTATGCTGAAAGTTCCAAAAGTAATCTTTAGTCCCCAAATGAACTTTGTACTCCAAGATTTTTTGTTAATTTTAATGATATTTACATGATATTAATTTTAATCACTAAGTTCCTCCTCGTCACTGAAATATGTGCTTTTCTTTATCCGTGGGCGTCTTGAATCATCTGATGTTGATGGGTTCCCTGAACTGGGTTTCCATTTTTTTTCTTCTTCTTCAATTTTGGCTTGCTGTAATGTGATTCGGACAACAACAAAAAACCAGGAAACTGTTTACTATTGTTTCTGGTATATTACTTTAAAACATGGCAAAAACATACCACAACTGCCATGACTCCTCACCCTCTCATGCCCCTGAAACAATTCTAGTCCATCAGGTGCTGATGTTTTTTCTTTGCCAAGTTCTATCCCAGTCTCACAATATTACTCAAAATGATTTCAGTCACTGTTTGCTAATTAACAGGCACCTGAGATAAAACCTACCTGCCACTCCTGCTAGAGGTGGGAAATGTTATATGCGATAAGACACTAGTTAATTAAAAGGAAAAATAAATTGACATACGCTTTTATGATGTCAACACAAAATAACTGGCTACATAAAATTAGGAGATTGTATATCCTTTTCCAAAACATGCTTCATATATTTGTATCAGGTCCTTCAATGGTCAAAACTCTGTTTTTGGTTTTGTTTTGAAGTTTTTCTTTTTTAAAAATGCCTTTCACTTAAATTATCTTTTCTATTGGCTAACCTCACTTCAATCAAATAGTTTCGCTCAATTCCATTATGAAAACAGTTTAAGACATTAAAGGTATTACTGGGCCCTTAAAATCTAGAAAGAACCAATGGGAACTTTTCCATCACACTTGTCTGATGATCTTGGATAAATAATAGCCTGTTTCTGAAAGTTTAGCCGGTGAAGTGAAAAGACAAGGGTTGCCATGAGGAGATTATCAACAAAGTATGCAAGGAACATAAAACTATTAACTCAAGGCAGCTATGGCATGGTCTGTTTCAAAGGAAATATTTAGTACCTGGAAAGCTATGGCTTGACTTAGACTGTCAAGAGCAGGATCTTCCCCTTCATTGTCACTTTCTTCTACTTCCTCACTAAATAATTAAAAAAAAGAACGCTCTCAACTTCAGAAGACAGACGCAACATAATACTGTATTCGGTAAGAGTTGATATACATACATTTGTTCTTCTGGTTCAGAGATTTTCTTTTTTTTCTTTTTCTCCTTCTTCTTTGGAGGTTCACGTTCTCCAAGCATATTTTTAGGACAGGCATAACTTAAGTGACCATTTTCCTTTTGTTTCCCATGAAAAAAGGAAAAAACAATACTAAATTTGTGGTTGTTATTAACAGAAACTTGCCTGGTACCCTAAGACTAAAACATTTTAGAATTTAACAAAGAATACTGTCACACTGGGAATCTACAAAGAGATTAATAATAAAACCCATTACTTTAGTATTCAGAAGTTTCACTAAAAACGTAAAAGAAGTATTCTTCCCTCAAACACTTTAAATCTCAAGATTCAGGGTCTGATAAAAACAATTCAAAATTTAAATGGACCATCTACCTTAAATGCAAAAATTTTAAGTTATTATTTGATAAAATGTAGATAAACCTATTCCTGTTAATTACACTTTTAAAAACAAATGGAAAATTTTAGGTCTTCCTCACTTTTCCTACTAATTAATTTCATTTTGTTCCTTTCATATCAATGAACTAGACCTGCAATGTCCAATTATGGTAGCCACTAGCCACATGTGGAGACTGACGACTTGAAATGTGACTAGTCTGAATTGATATACACAGTAAGGGTAAAATACACATTGGATTTTGAAGACAAAAAGAAAAAGTAAAATATCTTAATACTTTTTAAAATACTGATTATATATTCAAACGATAATGTTTTAGATATACTGGGTTAAATAAAAGATATTAAAATTAATTTTCACCTGTTTGTTTTTTCTTAATGTGGCTACTAGGAAAATTAAAATTACATATGTGGCTTGCATAGCTGGGCTAGACTTTTATTCATAATGGGCCATAATATTGTTTGAGTTGTAAACCCTAATTACTCTGAACTATAATCCATACGTTAGCTCACTAAAAATACATTTAAGAGGTAATATGTGAGAGTGGGGGTATGGGGAGAGACCAAGCCAAAATCAGAACAACAGAAGAGAAAAAAAATTATGCTTTTCAAGCATATCTGACAAAGCATCAAATAGACTGTGTACTTTGTATACTTGGGAAAACATGGCTGAACCTAAAAGGTGCTACTATGGATGAACTGTCACATTCAGGGGCCTGGTAGAGAGAATGTACTTGGAGAAGCATTTTCTAAACTTGCTTTCTGGAATAATGGTATACCAAAAAATGTTAACATACCCCATTAAAAAAAGGGCTTTAATAGTAAAATAACCTTGGGAAAAATCAATTTTTTTGGGGGGGGAAACTTAAAGAAATACAGAAATACACAGTATAATACAACAAATCTATGGATCCATAAACCAAAATGAACAGATTAACAGATTCATCCATTTCTCAGATAATATTTACTGCGAATATGAAGATACATACTAATCTGACCGTAAGTATCCCCTCCCTCCTTTTTTTAAAACAAAACTCAGGACTTAGGACACAGTTCCTGTAACATTTACTTGAGAGGTTTCAGAATCACAAGAATTGACAACTACTAGGTACCCAGGTTCTTGCTTCCTCACTCTATCCATCCGTCTGTCCATCCGTCCATCTGTCTTACCTTTCTTGGAGGGCAAGGGGTGATAGTGGGGGAAAGGACCCAACCCATTTCCTTGTATCCTCTACTTGGTTTTGTAGCCAGCACGATGTCTTTCAGCAATCCTCTCCCCAGCTCCCCATTAATACCTCTGGGCTCTGCTTCTTAAATATTTCATAGTCATTTTGGAAACTGATAGCAATAAGATCCAGACTGAAGTTCTCCTGATACCATTATGGGCCATGTGCAAAATTGTTCTGTGGCTTTGTATCTCTTCCCATCACCCAAATTTTAAATGGATAGGATAAATGATGATGAAAACTAGATAAGAAAATTTGGGGACAGTTCAGTCACAAAACATTAACAGCACTAATAGGGAAAACCAAAAACTTTCCAAGACAATACCCCATAGATAATGATTCATATGATAATGTTTGTACTGAATGCCAATGCTTTAACATTGGTAAGATGTTCAGAAACAGGCAGTATACTATTAAAACAAAAATTTATGAGTTGCTGAAATCTTTCAAGACAATGATATCTGACTGTTTTAGTGCTAAGTATGCAAACATGTAAATAATTAGTCAAAAACTTTTTAACCTAACATTTTTCAAAAACTTAGAAGCCAGAGAAAATAGTGCACTATATTATCCAACGCAGGTGATCTTCACACACTACATTTCAATTGCGTTTACTTAGATGTGCCCAGAATCCCTAAGTAAAACAACTTTCATAACCCAATTTTAGCCAGTCAGAAGTTTTGGTGAGCACAAATAAAAGACTAAAATAAAAATATCCTAAATGGTAATATCATAAATGTTGCAGAAACTGTGTCTAAAGCCCTGAGTTTTGTTAAAGACATGAAAAATTCCATTAAGTTTTAGGTTTACTCACCCCACATTCATAACACTTAGATTTATCAAAGTAGTGTCGCCTTCGGATGAACTCAGCTGCTCTTCCATTGTCGATAGCAATGCTTGCTTTTATCATTCTACCAAATAACTAAACCAAAGAAAAACGTAAATGAAGGATGTATTTCACAGAAACCTTACAGTTATTTGATCCCATTTCCTTAAATCTTTAATTCCATTTTATATTTTTGCTTATTTTGGTGGTTGCCTACTTAAAACCAAAAAAAAAAACCACTGCCATCAAGTTGATTCTGACTCACAGCAACCCCAACAGGAAGAGTAGAACTGCCCCATAGGGTTTCCAAGGCTGTAATCTTTATGGAGCACACTGTCATATCTTTCTCCCAATGGGTCTGAACCACCGACTGTCCAGTCAGTAGCCAACTGGTTAACCACTGTTCCACCAGGCCTACTTACGTGTGACAAATTCTATCCTGTAGTAATTTCTTGGATTCTACCAATGTTTTGGGAACCCAATACAGTTCTGGTATCTTTTGTATTCACTAATCTAGATACCCTCAAAATCTACTGCTATCCGTCAATCTTATTGCCCTCTGCATCTGTACGTTTTTGGCCTGAGGGAGCACAAAGGCTTTGGGGTTAAAATTTTGGGAATAAATGGCTTACCTGTTTGTTGTTTATTGCCCTGGTACAGTTTTGTGCAGATTCTTTATCCAAAAATAAAATAAATGCAACCCCTTTACTCTTCCTGGTATCTTTATCTTTCATTATAGTAACCCTTAAAGTATAAACAAATAGTTAAAAAAGAGGCAGCAATAAACAAACAGTATTAATAAATCCTTAGGAAACTCAAGCTTTAAAAAAATAGTTACACAATAAAAAATTTATGAAGTAAGAGAAATAAATTCATTCGACAAATCAGCTATCTCTTTAGTCATGGGACATCAAGAAGAATGAAAATGAGCAAATCTGATATTGATATAACACAAGTGAGCACAGCTATGATAAGCAGTATCAGATAAATCAAATATTAATAGAAGGAATAATCAGAAAGTAGAAGGATGAGGTAAAGAGATCACAGAGACAGTGGAATCTTGAAGAATAAGCATGATCCCTCTTCTATACTAACTCCCTCATCTTGCAAAAAACAAAAATCCCAAAAAACTGAGGTATTCCTTTCTAGACAAAAAGTACAATGGATTACTTAAATTGTTTTACTTCTTTAGGTTTTAGACTCTAATTATATTACTAATGTTCTTTTCTTTTAAAGAATTTCCGGTTCAGTGGTTCTTAGCCATACCATCCAACATACCTGAGTGATAGGGATGGGGACAGCAGAACACAGAGTATGCTTTTTCTCCTGACCTCTTAACCATTCTTAGTCTTTGAGACTCTTGCTCACTATATGCATCAAACATAGTTTAAACAATAATGTTCAACAGGGCTCCTTGAAGAAATGGCTGATTCTAGGTCTGGGGCTGGGTAGGTACAAGATGAGCTTAGAACATCTTGTTATTCCAGAAAATAAGAGCTTGGAGGGGGCGGGGAAAATGGGACATGTCACAAGAACACAGAGCCAGCTTAAAGGAGCTACAAGTAGCCAAATCTACGAAAATTTGAGCACCAAAATAATTAAGTAATGAATTATAAACCACAGAAAAAAGTAGGCATTCCAATCATTCATATGATAATAAATGTTGTTATTGTGTGCCATCAAGTTGATTCCAACTCATAGCCATCCTATAGGACAGAGTAGAACAGCCTCAGAGGGTTTCCTAGGCTGTAACCTTTATGGGAGCACATTGCCAGGTCTTTTTTCCTGCAGGGCCGCTGGTGGGTTCAAACTGCCAACCTTCTGGTTAGCAGCTGAGTGCTTAACCACTGTGCCACTAGGGCCCCTCCATAAGAAATAAATAAGCAGGAAGAAAGGAAGGCTCTTACTTATAGCAGACTGCTGAGGGGTGACTGGTGAATATGAAGGAGTGCTGGAGTTGGAAAATCATTTTGCAAAAATGATGATAAAGACTGGATCAGGCCAGAATCATCAACAAATGTTAAATCATAAAATGAGGAAAAATAAAGGGGAGATATATTCTTTAAAAAATGTCAGTGTCATAAAAAGCAAAGAAAGTCTGTGGAAACGTTCCAGATTAAAGGAGGCTAAACAGTTAAAGCCAATACCTGACTCTAGACTAGAGCCTGTACTAAAGGGGAAAATGCTATGAAGGACATCATTAGGTCAACTGATGAAATCAGGACATGGATAGATTTATTCGAAAGTATTGTTATATTTAAGAGCTGGATAAAGGAAAGACAAAAGAAAAACTGATGGCTTTGAACTATGTGTTGACGAAAAATATCGACTATACCACGAAGAAGAACGAACAAATCTGTCTTGAAAGAAGTACAGCCAGAATGCTTAGAAGCAAGGATGACGAGACTTCCTCTCACATACTTTTGAGATGTTATCAGAAGGGATCAGTCCCTGGAGAAGGACATCACGCTTGGTAAAGCAGAGGGTCGGGTCGCAAAAAAGAGGAAGACCCTCTCAAAGAGATGGATCGACACACAGTGGCTGCAACAAAGAGCTCAAGCATAATAATGATTGTGAGGACGGCACAGGACTGGGCAGTGTTTCGTTCTGTTGTATATAGGGTCACTATGAGTCAGAACTGATTTGACAATACCTAACAACAACAAATACTGAACTATAACATAAATGGAGCATAATGTGTACTTTATAAATTCTGCCAAAGTAAAAGTAATAAAAGAATTAACATCAGGAGGATGAGAGAAGGCGTGGAGGGAAATGTAAGGTGCTAATCACCTTATGTAACATGTGACTGAATTCTGTCCACAAAATTAAAAACTGAAGCATGAAAGAAAGAGCTATATAATGGCTTCTACATTTTAACGGTTTCCATCTCTTTCTTAGTCTAGAAGTTTCTTTAGGAACTAATATCTTGGGGTGAGGAAATATTTATCTCAAGTTCTCATTTTTTAGTTTCACTTCTGTTTTTTCTAATTGTTGAATTAAAACACAATTAATTTTAACTTTTTATTTTATAATAGCATACATAATGTAATCCCATTCCTATACAATCATTTATGTTAATCCATCTTTCTATCTTCTAAATATGAAGAGAGAAATGGTTGTAAGAGTGCCCAAAATATTAACGTTACTTATTTCTGGGTGGTGGGATTTAAGATGATTTGTTGCCTTTCTTTTAGTAACTTTTCTAGTGTGTTTGAATTTTTAAAGACAGTATATTATTCGTATTAATAAAGCTATTATTTTAAAATAACTATTAATAAATTCACACAGCTACATTTTAAGAAACTAAAAAAAAAAAGTACTGTTATCAATATAAATTTATGAAGTTAATAACCATACTATGGTTACATGAAGAGAATATTCTTATTTTTAGGAAATACACACTGAAGTATTTAGGAGTAAAAGGCAATGATGTTTGTAACTTGTCCTCAAGTGACTCACAAAAACAAATTGTGTATGTATACACACACACATAGACACATTTACATCTGGAGAGAGTGAAAATGATACAGCAAATGGTCAATCTGGATAAAGGGTATCTTAATGTTCTTTGTACTATTTTTGCAACTTTCTATAAATCTGAAATTATCTAAGTTAAAAAAAGTGACAATATTGGAGACAAAGATTAATAATTGTCTAAAACCTGAATTACAGGATTCCAATAGAAAAGAGGGTAAGAATGAAAAAATAAAGTTTATACAAAATTACATTTCAAAATTATTCTATTTAGATTTGGGTTTAGGCACACATACAGTCATAGGAATGAAACTGGTGAAAAGATGCCACCCATATTAAGGAATAACTTATTTCATTAAAATAGAAACGTAAGTTGAAATAATTTAGGGAAAAATAATCAAATACAATACTTGTTGCCGTCAAGTCAATTCCGACTCATAGTGACCTTATATAGGCAACTAAAATGTTATTGGGCTTGGAAGGAAAGAGGAAAAGTGAAGTACTTGACAAGAAGGCTCAAATTTAGACTGGTTAGCTTCAAAGCTACCAGAGGAATTGAGGAGATGCAGGAAAGTTTTTAACAAATACTGAAAGAAATATCAAATTAAACAGTTGCTTTAACTTTTTGGAATTCTTCATAATGCTTGTGAAGGGTGGGTGAAATCATAATCTTCCTACCTCCTTTTTAAAATACTATTTCAGAAGAAGTGTTAGCTTTCTAAGTCATTTTAGCTTATAATTCCTCTCATCTGTCCCCTTTTCCATTCCTGCTACTTTTTTTTGTCTATTGTGTCATTACTGTTTCAACAGCCTATTCTTACTGGTTCCCTTGATGTTAATTCTCTTATATACTAGTACAAAAGTCTTCTAAATAAGGAATAAATAAAATCACATAATTCCTTTCTTCAAAAATCTTTGGTGTTTCCAACCACGTATTATTTTGGCCCAGCAATCAAGACCCTCTATGATATGGTTCCCACCTCCTTTATCTTTCACTACTCTTCTCCACTCACAAATTCTGAGCTCCAGCCAAAATAAACTGCTTAGAAGAGACCAAAGAGTTCTGGCAGCTTTCCTGTCCCTGACCATAGTACTTCCTGAGATGAACTGCACTTCTGCCTTTGGATTCCATGTAATATCTCTAGATCTTTAGAATAAAGTGATTTTTTTGCTTAAAAAAACCCAAAAAAACAAAAAACAAAGACACAAAACAAAACAAACTGCTCAATGTTCATGTAGCATGGCCTATAATTACCCAAATGGTGCCTCTGTTCACATTGCTTCTATCTTCTTTCGCCTCTCAATCTTTGCCTATTAAAATTTTACTCATTCTTCAAGGTGTACATCAAATGTTAGCTTCCTAATCTCCTCAGGCAGAAATAACTTCTGCTAGACTCTACTTAAATTATTTATGTATAAACAATGCCCCCTCTCTTATTTTAATATAAACTCTTTTAAGGCTGTCTTTGTAATCTATATATGCCCAGCTTAATATGTTAAAAAGCTAGATATAAATGGGAAAAGTAGTTTCTCAAAACAAAACAAAACACCACCACCAAACCCACTGCCATGGAGTTGATTCTGACTCATGGCAACCTCGTAGAGGTTACAAAGTAGAACTGCTCCATAGGGTTTTCTTGGCTATAATCTTTATAGAAGCAGATCCCCAGGCCCTTCTTCCATGGTGCTGCTGGGTGGGTTTGAACTGTCAACCTTTAGGTTAGTGTTGTTGTTGTTATGTGCCGTTGAGTCGATTCTGATTCATAGTGACCCCACAGGACAGAGCAGAACTGCCCCGTAGGGTTTCCTAGGGTTTCCTAGGCTTTAATCTTTACGGGAGCAGATTACCAGGTCTTTTCTCCCACAAAGCAGCTGGTGGGTCTGAACCCGACCTTTTGGTTGGCAGCTGAGCACTTAACCATTCTACCATCAGGGCTCCATGCAAACCATCTATGCCACTCAGTGACCTAGTTTGTCAAAAGAGTGCATCTGTTTTTTCATTCATTTGGTCATTCCATTACTCTGTCATCCTCAAGGCCAGGCACTAAGCACCCGTAAGACAGAGGCAGGAAGACGGGTTTTTTAAGTTGCCATATAAAAATTTTATTTAATATACAGTTCAGTTTGTGGTCTGAAATTGCAGAAACTATAAATACAGAATATTTCTGTTCTGTAACTGGTTCCTGAAATGTGGGACATTCTACATATTGGAAGCAGGTTCTATCATAAATGATTTCCTTACACACTTGCTTCTTTTTTTTTTATTAGTGCCAATAATGTTGGGGTGAGATGGTCTCTCACTGTGGTTTTGATCTGCATTTCTCTAATGGCTAGAGATCGCAGGCATTTCCTCATGTGTCTGTTAGCTGCTTGAATAAGACAGGGTTCTTAACCCTCTAGAAAAAGCTTACACATCTACTGAGGGAGACAGACCTAAAAACCAATTACAATACAATTCTTCAGTAGAGATAAGTGCTGCCTGCTTGGTAACACAGAAAAAAAAAAAAATTACAATAAGAATTTAAAGGATAAATCTAGGATGACTGGCATGGGAAAAGAGGTAGATGGTGGCACCATTTCTTGATATAAGGTATATGACGTATGCATTTAATGAAACATTAAGTACATAACCTGATGCGTAAAAAAACCCGTTGCCGTTGAGTCGATTCTGACTAATAGTGACCCTATAAGACAGAGTAGAACTGCCCTACAGGTTTTCCAAGGAGCAGATAGTGGATTCTAACTGCCGACCTTTTGGTCAGCAGTTGAGATCTTAACCACTGTGCCACACTATTCTCAAAATATGGGTATCATTCATAACACTTCCATCTCCTTCACCCAACTCCCATTTACAAAGTAAGTATATCACTAAGTATTACACATCTTACTTTCTAACAATCTCTCAAACCTGACCATCTCTACCTTTTCATCTGCACCATTTTAGTCTAAAGCAGACTGTTGGATTCAAATCTTGTCTCCACCACCAACAATATGACCTTAGGTTTACCGTGTGCCTCAGTTTCTTCACCTATAACATCAGGATAATTACAGCACCTACTTTATAAGGTAGTTGGGAGAATTAAAGGAGGAAATATATTTAAAATTAGAAAAATGCCTAGCATGTAATATGGGCTTATTAAGTGTTAGATATCATCATCACTAGTGTTTTAATTGATGATGACTATTGCTGGAAATTCTGAAGACCCAAAAACTAACCCAGAAGCATTTTTGATGATTTTAAGTAGAGAAGTAGTTTAAAAGACATTAAACATCTCAAGATGCAAATGAATTTCAACTGTTTAAAATTAATTCATGGAAAGCTAGAATAAAAATAACTAGCCAAGATAAATATGCTCTAAATTCTTGGGATTTTAAATATATACCCGAATGTGTCATAAAGTATTGGTTATAATATAGACTGACAGAATTTTGCTTTTACTTCTGTGCCCCATAATACATTTCTGATTTATTATAAAATAGTGAATTAAATATGAGAATCTCAAGTTCCTTTTATTCCTTCTTAAATAATGGATATTATCATTCATTACCATTTCTGTATGTTTCTAGTATTTCCAACTCTTAAGTTTTCTATGAAGGCAGAGAATATGTTTTCTATTTATTTATCGGTCTCGTAAGCATTTTGCATGTCATATATATTGAAATATTTGGTTTTACATTCTACTTGTTTTGCAAACGCTAACCCACTTTTAGTATATTTTATAACACTTTCGAGTAATCAAGATATTTGTTTAATCAGAGACTTTAATTTATGTCTTATACTGAATAACAGAATTTGTTATAGTTCTTAGCAATATTGTAAAAAATTACAGAAGTTTACATTTTTCATGCTATATAATGAAATACCATGAAATCATTAAAAATGAGGATGTTTCTTTGTCGTACCTGGAAAGATATTCATGATATGTCAAGTTAAAAGAAGACAACGTATAGTCTTTTAAAAAAATTGTCTACGTGTGTTTATGAACATAGAAAAACATCTGCAATACCTAACAATGTTAACAGTAGTATTTTTATTTTCTTCGTTATATCAAGTATCTGTTTTATAACAAAAAAAATAGTAAATCAATTTCCATTTTAAAAAATATCAGACAGGCAAATTCAGATAAATTTTTAAATGAAGTTCCAAAATTCAATGTGAATACTTACTTTACAACTTTGCCATACTTGGAAAATATCTGAAACAAAAGACCACATAATAATTTCCAATTTAATTCAAAATCATAAAGAAATTACATTTTCAGGTTGTCACAATAACCAAATTCTTTGTTATAGTTTACAAAGTTTTCACCTCTAGTCTATAAGGAGACCCTAGGAAAAAGATTTTTTTTTGGTAACTCTAATAATATTCTCATTGTTGTTTTAGTCACATATATCTTGCTCAGTTCCTAACTGTCTGTCAGTGGAGTGGATACAGAGAAAACAATACTCTACATGTGTGGTAGATTTCAGGCACACACTGGACCACCAGTGTTCCTGTGGTATATCCATGGCAGCTATCAATCCCACCATGACTCCTAGAGAAACCTTGAACTTCAAATAAGTATGTTATAGACTATCACTATCCTTACACTACCATCACCCCAACAAACACTGTTTTAGAACACAGATCCTTAGACTGCTTATTAAACAAAGCATAAAACAAAAAAAGCTTCTATAATGAAAAATCAATTTCCTTCACAGACCTATTTGAAATTTCCTACACTCTCCCTCTCCCAGTTCCTCAACTCACTATAATTTGGCTTTGATTCTTCCCACTCCAAGAAATGTGCTTTCAATCAATGGTTGCCAAATCCAATGAACACGCATTTTGCTCCTCATTTTACCTGATCTCTCTACATATACACTGTGGATCCTTCCTTTCTCTTTTGAAATCCTCTTGTCTGCTGCAGTGACAGTAACTTCTGGTTTTGTTTCTATTTCTCTGACTGTGCCTTCAAGTCTTCCTCATAGGTTCTTCTTCTTTCAATAATCCTGTAAGTGTTGGCAGTCCCCAAAGTTTTTTTTTATGGCTTTCTTAACACTTTACACATTCCTTGGGTGATCACCCACATTAAGAATTGTTGTCATGTGCTGTTGAGTTGATTCCGACTCATAACGGCCCTATGTGACAGAGCAGAACTGCCTCACAGGGTTTCCTAGGCTGTAAATCTCTATGGGAGCAGATTGCCAGGTCTTTTTTCCCATGGAGCAGCTGGTAGGTTCGAACCAGTGGCCTTTTGGTTAGCAGCCAACCGCTAACCATTACGTCACCAGGGCTCCTCTGCATTAGAATTACCACCTATATGTCTTCCAGATCGCCTGGGCTCTAGATCCATAGTTTCAATTGACTACTAGACATTCCACTTGTACCTCAAATTTAAGGTTTCCGAAGTTGGTCACCATCTGCACCAAAACCTGATTCTCCTCCTGTATTCTCTAGGTCATCACTAACCATCTAGTCAACCAAAACAGAAAGTTCAAATCACAAAGGTTCTCCCTTCCTCACTCTCCATATTCAATTAGTTATCAAATCTTATCAATTTTATCTTCCTAAAAAACAAACAAACAATCAACAATCGCCTATCCTTATTGTTACGAATTCCAAGTTCAATGAGGTCAAGGTCAAGGACCATAACTCCAGTACTTACAAGAGTATCTTGTCATAGTGGGTTTTCATTAAGTTATTAACATAATATTAATAAATGCTACTTGGTCCAGATGCTGGATTACTTCAATAAACTTCTCAACTGGTCTCTGCCACTTCTGTGTAAGCTATAAAGAAATACTTGTTCTCTGAATATATCGAGTTCTCTTGTCTTGGCATTTTATATATGCTTTCCATTTTCTTAACATTTCAGTTCTCTCCCTTGTTATCTATTGTTTCTCAAAACTCAGCTCAAGGGTCAACATCTTCAGGAAGTGTTCCAAGACCTAAATAAGCAAAGTGCCTACTACTTGTCTAGCATATAATAGGTGCTCAATGAAAGACTGCTAAATGAAGGCATGAAGGGCATTATGTCATTAGACTGTGAGCTCCTTGTTAGGAGGAAGGCCTCAATCTCCTCTGTATCTCCAGCACCTAGCACAATACCTAGCAAACAGAAACTCCTCTATATTTCTTGTTTTCATTATTGCCAACAGCTTCCTAACTGGTCTCCCTGCTTCTTCTTCCCTTAGCTCTCCATACCTATCGCCCCCTACTGAAGTTTATTTTCAACCAGCAACCAGGGAGCGCTTATTAAAATGCAATGTCATTTCTCTGTTCAACACGTCCTAATGGCTTCTCATTTCACTCAGAGTGAAAGCCACAGTCCTTACCACGATTTACATACGCCCCTACAAGTCCTTCTTCCGGATAAGTTTGCCTCTCTGACTACCCCTCTTCTCTCTGATTTACTCTCTGCCTGATATGCTTGTCCCCTAGATATCTGCATAACTGGTTCTTACTAGTCTTCATTCAGAAATCACCTCAATGAGGGCTTTTCTGACCACCTATTTAAAATTTCACCTCCCCCGCAACTTAATATTTAATAACTCTCCTTTCCTACTTTACTTTTTCTCCTTAGCATCTATCATAACACATAGTATTATTGTTTAATTTTTATTGTGGTAGTTTAAGTGAAAGTTTACAATTCAAGTTAGTCTCTCATACAAAAATTTATACATACGTTGTTATCTGACCCTAACTGCTCTCCCTGTACTGTGACAACACACTCCTCCTTTCTACCCCTGATCTCCTGTGTCCATCCAACCAGCTCCTGACCCTCTCTGCCTTCTCAGCTCACCTCTGGACAGAAGCTGCCCATTTAGTCTCACGTATCTACTTGAGCTAAGAAGCACACTCTTCACAAGTATCATTTTATGTCCCACAGTCCAGTCCAATCTTTGTGTGAAGAGCTGGCCTCGGGAATTGTTTTAGTTCTGGGTTGAAAGAGAGTCCAGGGGCCATGCTTTCTGGGGTTCCTCTAATTATCAGTCAGACCATTAACTCTG